TTTTTATTTTGTCCACATTAAATTTCATCTGCCATTTTTCAGTCCATGCGAAATTTTTTTTAGATTTTCCTGTAGCTTTGCGGAGTCCTCGTCAGATTAAATTACACGCCTCCAGAAGAGGTTTTAACACCAAGTGACTGGAGGACCAAGTTGTAGAACATGCTTTCAGAGAGCAGCTCTACCTAAATCCGAGAGCGGAATGGGGTATCCTCAACACTGTCATCACAAAACCCTGCAACGAAACCCTCGGCCAGGTCAAAAGAAAACACCAGGATTGGTTTGATGAAAGCGACCTGGAAATCGAAATCCTCGTTAATAGTACACCTGCTGCTCTCACTGTTTGGCAGAACAACCCTAAGTCTCGGACCAAAGCTGATACCTTCCACGAGAAGAATCGGCGGTCCAGCACGAAATCCACAAACTAATGAACGATTGGTGAAAAATAACGCCCGTGAAATACAAAATTTGCCAATCAACACAAGATGTATGAATTTTTCAATTTCGCTAAAATACTTTATGGCCCAATGACTCATGGCGTGTTCCCCCTCCGCTCATCCGACGATAACTCAAATTAAAGACAAAGAAGGCATCCGTCAGCACTGGCAAGAGCATTATCATTTGCTGCTCAACCGAAACACCGATGTGGATGTCCTGACTACCCAGCAGGTTCCTCAGCATCCAGAGCTGACCCACCTCAGCTATCCTCCATTTCTGGATGAGGTAGCTACTGTCATCCAGCAGAAGATAAATAACAAAGCCACAGGGCCTGATGGAATCCCAGCAGAGGTGTATAAAGCAGGAGAACTTCTGCTTACCGTTTCTATGCTTTCCTTCTCTCTCTCCTCTCCTCTCCCAAGGCAAAGTCATTTGCCACTTTACTTCATTATCACCATCATCATACCAGCCGTCTCCACTCTCTCCTGGAGAATATATGGGAAAGGAGGAATTCCCCCAAGATCTTAAAGATGCCTCGATCATCAATATTTATAAGAACAAGGGAGACTGGTCAGATAGTGGCAACTGCCGTGGGATCTCACTGCTGTCCGTAGCTGGCAAGATTATCGCCCGAGTCCTCCTAAACAGACTTCTTCCTCAGGCGGAAAACTTCCTCCCAGAATCTCAGTGGTTTTAGACCATCACGTGGCACCACTAACATGGTCTTTGCTGCCCGCCAAATACAGGAAAAGTGCAGAGAACAGCGTTGTGACTTGTACATCGCCTTCATTGACCTTACTAAGTCCTTCGACTCAGTCAACAGTAAAGCCCTCTGGCCGACCGTAAGTCGTTTTGGCTGCCCACCAAAATTCTTTGCCATTGTGAAGCAACTCCACGATGGCATGAGCGGCAGTGTCCTGCACAATTGCACCCAGTCTGAGTTTTTTCCCATCCAAATGGGGGTAGCGCAAGGATGTGTACTGCCTTCCTTAATCGTGCCAGTTCCAATTTAGCCGGCGGGGTGGACATCCAGTAGCGGATGAAGGGACTTTTCAACATAAAACGACTCCAGGCAGGAATAAAGCTGTAGGTCGCTTCCATCACTGAACGACCTCATCCTCATTGCTCACACTGAACGACCTCATCCTCATTGCTCACACTGAACGACCTCATCCTCATTGCTCACACTGAACGACCTCATCCTCATTGCTCACACTGAACGTGATCTACAAGAGAGTCTGAACACCTACACAATGCGTATGCACACTTCGGCCTTTGTGATAGCTGTTTTGGTATCACATTAATTGTTTTAAATAAGTTCTGGAACTCTAAGTGGCAGGGCTTGATGTAAACATCTCTTGTTGGCTTTTCTTTTATTGTCGAAGCGTCTATATACACAGATATATATTTATATATATGTGAGAGAATTAATTATAAATTCTCTCCATGGAAGTGTTATGAATACACTTTGAGAGAACACTTGAGTTACGTGTTCATCCCAGAACAAGTGGAAAGAATCTGCCCGACCCCTCGCGCCTCTGTCTGGGCGACAGGCGTGGGGAGCCGTGAAAGTGTCAAGCGATTGTTCGATTAATCGGCTGACCTACGCCTAACCTTTGTGGTAGTTACAAACTCAACTGTGAATAATCGTTAACAACTGAGTTATTGTTGAATAACTTGGTGAATAATTTGGTGTTATTCATTTGGGTGAATATTTATATAAAGCAAAGGTGCTGTTATATCTTGAGGTGAGTGCATGTTGGACGCAGATTCTCTTCAACCTGCTCCTGGTTCAACCGCATTCCACCATCCATCCAGCTTAATGGTACTACTCTCTCTTATGTTACCCAATTTCAGTACCTTAGCTCCCACCTGTCCACCACCGAAGACATCGATGAAGAGATTCAACATAGGTTCAGACGTGCATCTCAAGCCTTTGGCAGACTCCATACCTGTGTCTTCAGCTGTAGGGAGCTGAAATTATCTACAAAGTTGCACTTGTATCGAGCAGAGGTCCTCCCCACCCTGCTGTATGGAAACGAGACATGGGTCACATACAGGAGGCACCTCAAGGCACTTGAAAACTTTCATGAATGTAGTCTACATTCCATCCTCCGAGTTCACTGGGAAGACAAGAGAACAAATGCCAGTATTCTCACTAACAGCAACTGTAGGGGCATCGAGGCTACCATTATCCATGAACAACTACGTTGAACTGGCCATGTGACCCGCAAGGACGACACTAGACTGCTAAAGTCGTTACTTTACAAGTCACCTAACGAATGGTAAACGTAACGCTGGCGGACAACGGAAAAGGTACAATATAAGGATAGTCTTAAGACAAACCTGAAAAACTGCCAAATCGACTCCATCACCTGGGAGACTATCACTCCACAGCATAACGCTTGGAGGAGCACAAGAGGTTGCCAATACTTTCGAGTTAGCCCGGCTGCATACCGAGGCAGATAAGCGCTAGCCCCGAAAAGACACTGCCGTACTAGATGTAACTCTCCATACATGCAACATCTGTGGGCGGCCATGCCGATCCTGTATCGACCTGTCGAGTCACCTCAGAGCTCACCAACGAAGGTGATATCCTTAATAACTCATATCATTGTATCATAGCTGGATGGTCGTGATACTCGATTCCGAGTGACAGCAAAGTAGTAGTATTCTGTATGTCCTGTGTATATATATATATATATATATATATATATATATATATATATATATATATATATATATATATATATATATATATATATATATATATATATATATATATATATATATATATATATATATATATATATAATAGTTTCAATAATTCACATCTTCATACAGACTAGAGAGAAATACAAACCAAGGTGTATATATACAGACCATATATATAGTATATATATATATATATATATATATATATATATATATATATATATATATATACATGTATATATACATATATATATATATGTATATATATATGTATATATATATGTATGTATGTATATATGTATATATATATATGTATGTATATGTATATATATATATATATATATATATATATATATATATATATATATATATATATATATATATATATATATATATATATATATATATATATATATATATATATATATATATATATATATGCTTTTTGTATGATATACTTTTGTGGTAGAGAGATAGCTTTTGGATGATTATCTGCATAACGATGTATAAGGATGCCTGCTAGTGCATACTTCACCACGAAGCTTTGACGACTTACACTTCTTGTCAGAGGTGTACAACATGTTATGTGTGTGTGCACCCGAGTGTACTGTACGTTATACAGTGTATTATAATGGGCGAGAGTGTGGTAAGCGGCAGTAAACATCATGGCTCCCGGCTGTAAGAAAAACAACAAGGGCTAATCTTGTTTGGATGAAAAACCTATTTCAGGTGTGAGGGAGGGGAGGCTGATCTATGAATAGCCAACCACCCGACACTTAGATCAACGGGGGTTACTCACACGCCGTTATCTTCTTCAGCGTAATGACTAGTGGTGGTAACTCACTGACTGGATACAGCTACCATGAATTCAATTGTTGGTCTTAAACCTCATTAGCAGCATCATCGTTTACATAAAGTCTGATTCACTATGGTCAGTTGACGAGCCGCTTGACTTAAAACCTCGAACAAAGGCTATCGTTTATTTGATAACTGATTCGTTTACCCGAGTAGAAATCTCGTCCGTCTTGGAGATTCGATCTAACATCATCTTCAGTGTGTAGCAAGATGATCCTCCCATCCTTTAAGATTGTTCCCTGTACCAAAGCAAGAGACGTTCATCTTGATGCTTCGAACCAACGTCAGTTTTTGTTGGATTTGATGGAATATTAATGAAGATGTGAACCCGGGGAGGGAGAGAGTTGGGCGGGTGGCCAGTATCGACGAACACCGCGGCTAAACTAATGACTTGCCCAGAATCTCTTCCCCCTTTCTCAGTGTTGGTGTGGATAATGGCTTCATTTATTTAGGTAAATTGTTGTTTCTGACACTTTTTATCTGGAGATCAAAACTTGCGAGGTAGACAGTGTCATTTATTATATTACAGTGTTACCAAGGCTTCCCTATCTGGGCTTCATTTATCAGGTGCTCCCGACTTGAAGAGCCTTGTGTGACTGTTATTTGTTTGACGATGTCCTTGCACACACACACACACACACACACGTTTTGCAGTTCTGGCCTTTGTATCCTGCTAGGAGTATTCTACCCAACTATGTTCTAGTCATGAGATACGACGCAGCAAATAACTACCGTCACCAGCAGTTTCTGTGTTTCTGTTTTTTTTTCTAGTGCCACTTTAAATAATTGCGGTATTGGGTTTTATTTAAGAACAAAAGCTGTAAGTTTTATTTGCCTTCCCCACTGAGAAAAGTGTTTACCTTGGCCTGTTGAAATACTAGGCAGTGTTTGAAAGGTGCAAGTTTTACAGTCCAAATATTGGGAGGTAGTGAGGACTTAATATTACCTGGCTATCACGTGGAATGTATTTTTTAATTTTAAATTTCTCATTTTAGTGAATAAGAGATGGTACTCATGAAAATGTCCTGGAGAGAAAGAAGTGTTACTCTATAGTACATCGTAATGAAACACAACTCGAAAGAAAGAACAAGGTGAGAAACCATAACAAATCGTCAGGAGGACGATAAACAAAAGACGATCGCAGTGACGTGACCGAAAGAGACAAGTACCCGTCAAGATGAAGGAGGAAGGAGGGCAGTGAAACCAAAAATAAATCCCGGGGAAAAGAAAAAGAAAAAGAAAACAAAACACGATCGCACTGACGTGAGGAGAGAAACCATTGCACGTCAAGATGCGGGAGGAGGAAGGACAATGTGGGAACTGTGGCTACTACCTCAAGAATATCGTCAAATTCCTGATCAGTCATATAGGCTTGGTGTCCCTGGTGATAGGCTACACCATCGTAGGAGCCTTCACCTTCGAGTGGCTTGAGGCTAAACATGAACTGGAGGTGAAGGCGAACATGTCCTCCGTCAGAAAAAAGGTGAGACCTAATTTCAGTATTTTGTCAAGATAATGTTGTCTTAATTTATCGAGAGGATCACTTTTATCTTTTTTTTTTTAGAGATGCCAATACATTTGTTGGAGGGATAATTAGTGGTTCCATTATTTAAAAATTTTTTTTTTAATTATCAAACTTTTTATTTTCTAGAAGTAATTTTTAATGCAAATTTTGCTCATCCTCTTTGTTAAATGGGCAAAACAAACAAGTCAAACAGGTAGTTTAGGTTGGGTTTGTTTATTTTGCATTTTTTAAAACAAGTTCATGATACCGCACCGGCCATAAGGGAAGAGGACCTCCATACTATTTGGACAAGTACCGACAACAGTTACAACTTTAGGGAAATATATTCTCATAACTTTAGATAAATTTTTATTGTCATTTTAATGAATACTAATGTTTAGATTGTGTTGGGAAGACTGACTTTCTTAATACATCAACAAATTAAGCCGATTAGCTTCAGTAAATCAGGTAAATAAAAACCCCCCAGGTATATAACGTAGTTACGTCACCACCTGAAAAAGGTAGAATTACGGTGAACACATTCATATTTTATTTACTACCTGGAAGACTTCCTATATATGCTTATAAATATAATTTTCAGTTCATGTTTGCCCTCCTTCATCAGGTGAGGGACGATCTGTGGAACGTGACCGAACGCATGCTCGTCCTCAACGAGACCGAGTGGTCTAACTCGGTCCGTCAGCACCTGGTCGACTTCGAGAAGTCCCTCATCGAGGCCATCAAGAAAGACGGTTGGGACGGAGACGAGAGTGCCAAGACCCAGCAGTGGACCTTTGCCGGAGCACTCTTCTACTCCATCATCCTCATCACCACCATCGGTAAGTGCCATTCACTGTCATCATCTTCATTAACCATTAATTACAGTAGTTTATCGTGATGTTTTCATTCTCAAATATGAAGTAAACTCTCTTCAAGCTGGAGAAAAAGAAGCGTAATTTTGTCTTCTAAAGACTAATTTCATTTTCCCATGACTGTTTTTGTCTTACAGTAACAATAATTTTGTTTTCCATATTATTGGGGACTGATAACCTATGATATCTTAAATTAAATAAATGTGCAGAATATATCACACGAGCGTTGCACACGAGAAATAAGGAATCACATATTTAATAAAAATGTCCAGTTGTTTTGTTTTATGGAATTTATGCAAATTAACTTTACAAAATACATAAACAAGTCTAGTGTCTAAGATCATACAATAACCTTTCATTTCCAAGAGTCTTAAGATCAACATTTTATTTATAAACATAATACTTGCCTTCTTGGTCGGGTAACATTACCTACGTTACTCTCTACAGCCTCCTCTATGAAGCGAAACCTGGAACCCGTTATAAAGTGATACAAAGTTCCGTTTAAACTACTACGCCCTATAAATGACGTTGTTAAGAAGACTATATGGGAGAAACACTTTAACGATATGTGTGTGTTGTTTATGCCTGTGGTCTCACGATGCCCAACACACTCGAGACAGATTTGTAAGGAATTTGCCTTAACTTAAATCAAAAGTGCGTGTATAGTTGCGCTCTTAATCAACATCTTGTAACCTGACTAAGCTTGAAAGTGTGGGCATGTCGAGGGTAGGGATGTGGCATGTTTTAATGTTTAACAAGTTTACAAGCTTCTGACTGGTTACGTTTGACCAGGACCAGGTTGAAAATCATACAGAACAGGTATGTGTGTGTGTGTGTGTGTGTGCGCGTGTGTGTGCGCGCGTGTGTGCGCGTGTGTGTGCGCGCGTGTGTGTGTGTGTGTGTGTGCGCGCAAGTTCCATCAGCTCATTAGCAGGTGAGACTCAAAATTCACGTTGGTCGTTGGGGAAAGGCGGGTCTTGTAGACATACTGGGTGGATACTGGGTAGTAATATGTAGTTAATAGGGTTGTAATAGGGTCCCCACTTTGGATGTTCCGCCATCAAGCTTCAGTCCTCCTCTATCTAATAAAGGGTCTTGTCGTAATTGTATTGAGCTGGTCTGTAGCTGGTAGTCTCACACGCTGTAGAGTTGATGGTCAACACTTTAGGGTTCAGAGCTGGTTTCTAGGTATTCCGTCAACAAGTCTCCCCCCTCTACGTATTTCCTGATTCTCTGCTTCCTCGTTCACTAGTGCTATGAAGGCGTTGAATTCCTCGTAGGGCTGCTTCGGGATGTAAGATACAGGGTAGACCCATTGGGGGGAAGAGACGTAGGGGTAGGGCATGGGGGACATGACGTAAGAGTTGAGGCTGGGGAAGGAAGGGGACATCGGGAAGGGTAATAGAGGCTGTAGGGGGAGATAGAGAAAATACTTCAATGATTGCAAACTGCATGATATTACTAACTTACAAAAACTATGGGGTCACATGCAAATAAAACCTGCAAAAGGCGCTTCTAAGAGTCATGGGGGATTAAAAAATATATTTGGTCTCTTGGTGTAATTTGTTTAGCTTAGGAGGAATCAAGCACACATAAAATTTAACAGACACCCAGACCTGAATGAACTTTGATTTGACCTGACTGTCGAAACTGGATGTGTCTGTTATAAGAACTACTGTGATCTGAACGGAAAATGTTAAATTTATATATGATATGATCTGAATGTACTCTTATTGTTGGATCTGACTTAATATTTTTGGTCTGAACAAAATGTGATCTGACTGGTCTTTTGGAACTGACCTGGGAGTAGTAATGACTGCCATAGGGAACGACGAACATGCTGTAGAAGTTTGACAGGCTAATGTCAGGCTCTCCCTCCCCCCCTTCTTCTTCTTGCTCCTCCACCTCCGATGATGGTAGTTCTTCTCCCCTGACAAAATCTGA